AGCAATCTCAAAATGTTCCTCTTTCAGGAAAAAAACCTGACAGTTTCCTGTTGCCATGCTTTGTATATGATTTCAGAAGTGTACTTCCTGAAAGGCTGGAGAAAGCAGGCTGGGAACACTTGGTCTTAAACTCTAGGAAGCAAAAGTTCTGAGACTGTTGAACCTTGAAGAAGGTTTTGGTTTAGCATTTGTATTGATGCGTGGCAATAAGCAGTAGCAGTAAAAAATAGCCGTTGAATGGTGACTGGCATTACACCTGCAGGAAACTTGTGTATCTGTGTGTGTCTCAGTGTGAACAAATTGCATGTACATACAAGATGGGTATCTTAGAAAGGATTTATAGCTTGATTTGTAATAAAAAGGAGCTAACAGGTTGAAAAATATCTAGTGTTTTAAAAAAAAAAAAATGGTATGCTGTATTTATTCAAGGGAGTACTGGGACACCTATGTAGAGAGTATGCCCAAGACAGGTAAGGAGCAGCCACATCTCTTAAATGTGTTAAAGTTTCTAAGATTTCAGGAATCTTCCTGATTACTTAAGAAAACATGTCAGTTTGTCTTGTGAGGAAATGATGGGAAGTGAAGTCATAAACCTACATAGATTTAGAAAATTATTTTAAAATTATTTTCATAAAATTTTTTGGGGGTGGAAGGGTAGTAGTGTGTATTTAAAGATTTTGCAAGAATGGACAAGAGATTTCTTTTTCCCTTCCCTTCTTTCATACTCCCCCACCTGCAAAAAGATTTTGTGGTGCAGTTACATATTACTTGGCATCTTTTCACCTTTTTGCTAATTAGAATTAATTTGTTTAATATCAGTAGAGGATTTATCTATGTAATTATTTATCAACTATAAAAGCTTCAAAATAGGCGGGTGTATTTATTTCAGGTGAGTGGATGTTACATTTGAAGTGGTAGAAAAACTGGTTACTGCCTTCATACTTTCATGGCCCCAGGTTAACTATTTTTGGTGGGAAGGAGAAAAGTTCTTCCCTGGATTTGAGACTACAACTGTGATGTATTTTGAGGTGAGCAAGGGCTGCATGACATTGATTGTGCTCTTGATGGAGACGTGCTGCAAGTTTGACAAGTAACAAATCTGACACCTTTAAATTGCTTTTGGTGGAATTTTTCTGTAATGCTATGTTCTGTTCTCCTGAAAGTACTGAAAAGGAGGGAATTTAAGGTAGCCTCAAATTGCTGTGAATGAAGATGTAAACAGAGGTATTCACAGTTGAAAGGAAGCTTTGCAGCTCTGCATTTTTGTAATATTTACAGGAGTGCATAATTGTGCAACCTGTTTTGCATGTGTATTAAACTGTGTATAGCCCTCAAACTCTTCTCCCGAGCTTCCAGGGGGCATTTGAGAGGGTACTGTTGGCACTGATAAAAAAAATCATAAATGGTGTTAATATGGACACACTATACCCTTGGCTGGTAATCAAAGTAATTTATTTATTTGATACTTAAAAAATTACAAGTGAAATCTTACTAAAATTTTGAAGAGTTAGTTGAATAAATCTGCCCTGTTGTAATGATGACCGATTGGGGTGTTTCATTATAGCACCATGTCATTTCTCTGTAAGGAGAGGGTATTTTTTTCATTTTGACTAAATACTGCCCATTGTTTGACTAAATACTGTCTTTTCTACTAAGTAGTGTGATTGTGTTGTAGAGTGGGTTGTTTATTTTTTTCCCCCAATTAATCTGTAAATGGGATGTTTTAGTCACATGATAGGCCTCAACCCACTCCCATGGGTTCATTGCTGAGGGAAAGGAAACATATGCCTAGGCATGAGTCATGGCTCTTCCCCATGTCTGATGAAAACACTACACCAAATGTCACTTTTTAGCAAACCTTTGGCATAGCACCTTCCCTAGGTCTAGTGTAATTGTTGTTATGTTTTTCTGATGTTTTGAAGATTGTTACCTGAGTTACCTACCTTTCTTTTTGGTTTTGTTTGGTTTTGTTATTGTTCTGGGTTTTTTTTAATCTTAGTTTAGGCATAGAGTGGTTGAAGAAACAACCACATGCCTGCAAAGCTGTTAGAGAAACATATCATATTAGGCTGACAAACCTAAATATTTACCTTGTGTATTGCTATTGTTTGATAGGACATTTTGGGTACCAATTAAGCTTCTGGTTTTATCTCCGCAATATCTTGAGAGCCTGAGGATGTTTAATGGATGCATGTTACATTCTGGATTGCTGAAGAACTCAGACTTTGAATTTCCCTGTTTTAGAAACCTTTGGAATAGATGAAAAGACTAATTCATAGGGTAGTCTATGCTAAACTACACCTTTAAAAACAACTGCTTGCACTATGAGACAGAATTTGTCATGCTGTAAAGTGCGATGTCTGGGTTGCTATTCACAGGCCACTGTTTCCTGCCTGGGGTGACACCACGATATACTACCTAATGCTGAGAGCAGGTTACGCTACCTGGATATGAAGAGTTAAGGCAAAAGAATATAAGCTTATTTGTCTTATAGAAATAATGATTTCCAGTTGCTGATAGCTTTTTGGTGCCAAGTTATCAAGTGCATTTGCCAGAAAAATGAGTTAAAATGGCACCCCAAGGTACAGACTCTCAGTCTTTTTTCTTGTCTTCTTAGTGTAAATTTTTTTATTCTTAAACCTCAGGCTGTGATTTCCTCAGAATTGCAGTGTAAGCAAGTTCAGAGTAGGTCATTATTCTAATGGAAGATCCCAAAGGAAATACCAAGTTTTGTTTGACATTATTAGCTGGTTCTTATAACTGTGTTATGATGACTGGCCAGGGCTGGAGAGGAAAGGACTACTACATTTTGATGTTGTTTATTTTGAGACAGTTGATGTGGAGAAGCAAAGTTAAGCAGCCGAAGAACCTGAACCAAATAGACAAGACTGTAAAGTCAAGTAATGAGCATACTGCTTTTCTGGCTCCAGTGTCCCTTGTAGGGATCCATGAGCTGCTTTCTAATGTGTGCCTGGGTAGAGGGGGTCAAACACTCTGCAGTTCACCACACAGTTTTTCTCTTTAGAAATAGTAGGGCTACAGAGATAAAGCTCAGGGTCTGGCAGTGACATGTGATTGAAAAGTAGCTGGCTGAAGCTCTGAGTAAATAAGACAGATGTTATCTTGCTCAGAGGAAAAAAAAAAAAAAAGACCTTCAAAGAACTGATCATGGTGTTGGCCTTCCAGTTCATTGAAAATGATTCTCTACCAGTTTTTAAAGTAATGTGATACTTCAGATGCCTGTGATACTGCTGTGTGTGGCTATGTAAATAGTGCCCTCTGGCAACTTGTTCTACTTGGTTCTGACATACATGGCTGTTGGAAAGAGCAGGACATTTAACAGATGCTATGAAATTCTTTACAAGTACGGTTGGTAGGTATTCTGGTACAGAAACATCGAATTAGCTTTCAATGCAGTCCCTCTTCTGTATAAGTAATGTTGATCTTCAGAAGCTGATGATAGAATAAACGAAACACCTGTCCTATTTGTACATTGTTATTTTGAGTCTGGTTAAATTAGTAGATAAACTAAGCAAGGTCTTGATTAAATGCTATGACAATTTAGCTTTAAGTAATCAACTCTTTAGATCTCTTGCAGAAAAAAAATGTTCAGCTATCTCTTCAGTGTTCTCTGTAGAAAAAAGTGTGTGTTCACAATGTTCATTAGCCATGTAAATTGGAATGCTTAAGGTTCTAGTGTCGTTGGTACGGAAGAGACAGTAAGTCCATGGGGCAAGAGTTGAATACTCTTGAGTTGGATGCCTAAAGTATATGGTGTAAATTCTTTTTTAGATAATTATTTCTTCACCTTTGTTCAGTGACTGTCCTTTCTGTTGCACAATGTATAAATTCAGTGAATATTTTAAGTATCATATCGATGATACAGTAATTATGTTGCATTACATTCTCATTTTGTGCTTCCATGTTCCTCAGAACTTTTGTGTAGTTTTGTTCCACTAATAATGGAGTTTTATTATTATCAGCACTTGGTATCTGTGTCTACACAGTTCACTCCTCCCTATCTCAAAGTAAGAAAAGTATTTGTAAAGGATACCTTCAGCACATTTCTGAATAGCAGTCTTGCAGACATGTCAGGATTTCTCCTAGAGTATTGCTGCTGCTGTTCACTTTTTAGTGCTAGTGCTTATGAGTGTAGTGTAGAATTCAGACATAGAAAGTAGCCTATATCCAAATTGTAGTTTAGCTTGGCAGCTGTCAAATACAATCTTTATTTTCCTACCTCAACATCACAACATATGCTGCTCTCCTGGGGAGACAAAAGCTTTCTGTAGATAACCTTATTGCTTGGCTTCTGTTGAGACAGCTGAGTGCTGCTGAACTGTGTCCTAAAAATTACTGTGGCACGTAAGCCTGTACAGTCACTTGTGTCTGCGGTTGGGCTCTTCCAGAGTCCTGGTTGACAAAGCAAAAGTAGTTGAAATGAATGCTTTTGCATGTTGTCACCACAGCTCCTCATTCACTGTAAAACTCAGTATTGTATCACCATCCTCTTCATTAAATGTCTAATTACTTTAATAGGCTTTCCTAACACCTTTTCTCCCTAATTATGAAGTGTTTGCCTGATGGTTTGGAGATGAACTGAAAGACCTTATCATATGGCAAGGGGCTTCAGGGCTGAATAAAAAAGAATGGGCAAAGGTTTAGATATTAGTACCAAGGTATATCAGTGAGAAGGTACAGGATTAGACTGTGTCACTGGGTGCATGGTAGTTCTGCCAGTACTCATTAATGGAGCAGAAAATTTCAGGGATGAAAACTACATTGAGTCAAATTCCTTCCTATATTAATTTGATGTTTGTATGTGTGTGTTTGGCTTATGGTTGCTTTTTTCCTTTTTATTCTTTCAATGATGATTATTTAGGAGAGAAAATTTAGTCCATTGCTTTGATTGTTCTAAGTAGAAGGGTTATTCTCACATACAAGTGTTGAATCTGTTTAATTACTCTTGTTTTAATTAGTTCTTATTATTGTCTTGAAAGGGGCTGACAATATCAGGAAATACTGGAGTCGTTACTACCAAGGATCCCAAGGGGTAATATTTGTATTAGACAGTGCCTCCTCTGAAGATGATCTAGAAACTGCTAGGAATGAACTGCATTCTGCTCTCCAGCACCCACAGTTATGTACTTTGCCGTTTTTAATACTGGCCAATCATCAAGACAAGCCAGCAGCTCGCTCCGTACAAGAGGTATGTTAACATGGCAGCATCTTGCCAGTTTGTATTTACTGTCTGCACACCACTGACCCAGTTTTACTTATTAGCCTGACATCCTAGTTAAGGACTGGCCTCAGTTACTCCTCACTGTAAGTACGCAGACCAAGAACAGTCCCAGCCCCTAAGAACTTAATCCAATGCACTCTATACAGGCTTAGTTCTTCTGGAAAACAGACAAGTAATACTTGGATACAAACAGTTCTCCTGCTTTCACCGTGTTTTGCTTGAGGGAGAAAAGATGTTTTTAAGCTACTTTTATCAAAAGCTGCTGGGACAGTGATTTTTTTGTTTATCTTGGTTGTTTATTTGCTATTAGTTTTAATCTTGCATTACTCCATTCTTTGCAACTGCTTAAAGCGATAGATTGCAGCCGTAGCTTGTCTTTTAAGTAAAAGCCTTTTTTTCTGGACTGCTATGTACTGATGTAAGATCACAGTTGCAGTTCCTGTTCTGAAGTCCTTAACTTGTTCTGATTTTCTTCTTTTAAGGAGTAATGTCTTTGTCTAATTTGTAGCTATCACGTAGTAAATTATATAACTGTTCTACTCAGGGTACATTTTGCTCTTAAGTTTCTGAAAAATTAATCTTACTTACATTCCTATCATGTCACATACCTTTGAGGAAATGCTGAAAGTTACCGATTCTTCATTAAAGCTCTACTTGCTCTTCTGAAGTTGTAGGAAGGATTTAAAATTTAGTTGGGTCATTCTGTTCATAATTCTTCCTATTAAAGGTTGTATGTGAAATCTCCTGTTTGTTCTGTGAGTCATGTTTTTTTTTTATATTATAGCAGAATGAAAACTGTTTCAGCACCTTACTGTGTTGCTAATTTGTATTTAAACTTGTTGCTTTCTTAGATGCGCTGCTTTGTCTAAAATATGATCTTTCTGAAGAATGCCAATCCAATTCAGTGCAAAACTCACGGATCTGTAGGATAACTGCTATTTGTACAGTATAGTTGTATGGGATTCCTTTAATGTTTTATTGCTATTTATGCCTCCCTTCTTAGTCAAAAGAAATAGAAGATAAAAAATTAAGCTGCTTATGTGTTAAGAAGGAATAGTGTAAATGTGACTAGAGTATAGTGATGTTTTTAATATGATAAGAGAATAAGTGAGAACTGTGTAGCTACACTGTAAAATACTCTGTTAGATTGTTGGTCCTTTAAGAAACTATGCTTAGGAAAAACAAAAAAAAAAAGAAAAAAAAAAAGAAAGGAATTGGGATTTAGTATGTCAAATTACATAAACAGGTAAACTGAAATGATGCAGGGATAGAATCTACAAGTTCTAGGTCTTGTTCATCTAAAAAAAGATTTAGGAAGAAGTAATGAATATTTGAAGGAAACCTAACATGGATTTTTATATATCAGTTTATTAATTTCTTCTAGTTTATTGTGCAATGTAAAAGCAAAGCATGTATGCCGAAACATTCCATTTAAAAAAATGACAGTATGCTGAGACACAACTGATGCATTTTATTCATCCAAATATGCCCAAGGTGGTTTTATTTTTACTTTTTTCATAGGCCATTACAGATTATAATTTCCATCAACAGAAATGCTTTTTTCACTTTATTTAAGTATTTTTTATTTTACTACTTTTTTCCTTTTTAAAATGACTAAGTTTGTTTTAAAGTTAATTGAGGATTTTGATTATAAATATTTAAGAAAGGTTCCTTGTCTGGTTTCATAAGAATAGTGAATACAATGCCAGTTAGTTTGTTTTTCAGCAAATTACAAATGTAACTCCATTTTTCGGTTAAGCCCATGCAGATAGACTTTTGGGCCTGAACTGAATCTTTTATATATTTTGTGTATTTAGAGATAGCATTTCTTCTCTTTTAGTAGTAGTACCCTCATTTTCTCCTCACTACCAACTGCTTGATATTTTAGTAGAGGAGTAGATCTTTAGATCTTTATTTGCTTACAGTAGCATTTAAATATGTTTCTAGTGCATGCTCTTTTAAAAAAAAAAAAAAAATTTCGGTGTATTATCATAGCAGACAAGTCTTGATTGCTACTTTGAGTCTGTATGAAGTGCTGGATAGAAGAATTTTTTTAAAGTGTTCACAGCTTATGCTTATTTTCAGAAAAACCTGCATCAAGATCTCAGTGTATATCATTGCAATTCTCTACTTAAGAATAGTGAAAAACAGAATTATGGAAAAAAAGAAGGGGAATGTCACAAAGTTGTTATTTTGTCACTGAAACAGTGAAGTCCTGTGTTTGCTGTATGTGCAAAATGAGAGCCTTATTCAGTCAATTTTGACAAAGTTAAATGGAAATCTATTGCTTTCCTAAATGCTTTGCCATGCTGTTGTCTTCATTGTTGAGATATGAAATGAAAGCAAAATGCTGACTGACAAGACCATTCCTTATTTCCAAAAAATCATAGTTAAGGATTTAACAAAAATAATGTGTTGAGCATTGAGAATTTTATCAGACATTTTTTCAGAACAAATCCATTAATTATAGGTATTTCCTTGATTTTTATGCGTCAGAATCAGATGAATCACAGTTGAAATTTAGAAGTATGTATGCATTCTTTTAGTCAACAAATTGCCTTTCTTTATTGGATATGAAAGGACTTCTTGTAGTATAATTAAAGAAAATGTCTGAATTAAGTGGTACAGAAATTGGAATTGTAGAAAAATATTTATCTACAAGCAAAGTCTTTCAGAAAACTGTACAGGTGCCAAGCAGTTTATGCAACAGATACAGTTGGGAAGTGCAGTTGCTTCGGTTTTTCAAAATTTCATATTTAATGTCTTTTCTCCATGCATTGCTTAGGTAGAAATGATGTTGCAGTAGCTGCATGCTGTAAGTATTAAGCAATATCATGAATAGTACAATTCAAAACTATAATGGCTATTTGTAAGAATATCCAAATAATTAGTTTAATCTATGAAATGTAATTAAACCTAATTCATTTTGTAGGCATGATTGGAGAATATACTTCATATTATTGAACTAATCAAGAAAAATTACAAGAGAAGCTAAGTTGTGACACTAATTGGTAAATGTAATCCTTTTTTTTCTGTGTTCAGTTGCTGGTTGGCTGGTTCCTTGTTTTTTTGATTTTTAAAATGAAATCAAGAAAGTAAATTTGAAATTTCTTTCTAGAAACTATAAATGAAGATGTAATTTAAAATATTATGCCTCTTATTTCTCCTATGTCAACTCCTGCAGTGTTTGTTCCACATTCCCACGTCAAAGATACTTGTAAGTTGTTTTGTTGTTCCTGTGACAGTAACACATATTCAAGTGCTTTCAAATACCTAAGTGATTTCAACTGAGCCATGCTGAAATAAAGACTGGGTATATTAAGTAGACTGTAAAACTCAGTAGTATTTAAGTCTGTAGGTATGCTGCAAAATAATCTTATTTTAGATTAAAATCGCAATAGTGAAGAATTAATCATAGTGAGTCAGTTCTGATTGCCGTTGTGGAAACCTTATGAATTGTTAAATCAAAATAGTTACAAGAAAAAAATAAATTTAGTTACTCAGCAGATGGGAAGATGGTGGCATATCAGTTTGGCCACTGTTTCCAAAGTACAGGGTGCAATTCTAAAACAGTGTACCTAATTAGATATATTTTTAATAAGTATCTTGCTGACAGAGTGTGCTTTTGGTTTTCCATCACAAAAGTGCTTTTGATTATAACAGCTGGTTTTGATTAGTCAGATTTCTGTTACAGGCTTAAAATATTACCAATTTATGGTGATAAAAGCACGTAAATTGCTTTGCAAAGGAACAGCAGCTTTACTATGATTACCAACTTGTTGATTTTTATTTTGGAATGTATGCTACTTTGTATAATAATATTGGAAGCTGGATGCTGCAGTGGATTCCTGTGATTTGAACCAGTGTGCAAGCTGAGTCACTTTCCTCCTAGGTCAGAGCAGTATTTAGGAGTTGCAGATAGGTTTTCTTGGAAGGTGTCCATAGCCCCTGTATTTTACGAATAGACTCTGCTGAGCAAACGCTTGTCTGAATCTGTTGAGGACTTCTGGAAGCCACATAGGACTGGCCAAAGAAGAAACCCAATTGAACCATAAAGCTTTAGCAGTTCAGTGGTGAAGCAGCTACGTGTTTGGCGTCATGTTGCTTTTGGGGAGTTCCTTTGATTTTTATATATAAGCCTGTTTTCAAGATTGCAATTGGAATAGATGATCATTGTAGGTCCCTTTCAGCTGTTCTATTCTAAGATCATATATGTGAAGACATTCTTAGAGTATAACCTTTTGGTGGGTTTTCTTTTAGTTATCCAAAAGCGCAGGCAGTTAATACATTTATTTCATATATATAAATTGCTGACCACTAGTACCAGGAGAAATCATTGAAGATATGTTATAAATTCCTGTTTTAAAAAATGCTAGAACTTTTTAATACAGACTTAGTAGTAGAGAGTGAATAAAAATATTTCTCAGTCTATTTTAAGATTTAATTATCTTTTAAAATATTGTTGTCAGGAAAAAAAAGGTAAAAAGGTTATGTAGTGCACCGATCACAAGTGCTTTTTTTCCTCTCGCATACAAGATCCTACTTTAAATTTGCAGTACTGCAAATTCCACTTATGTGGAAACACCAGAGGAAAGTCTTTCCCATTTTCCTCTTTTCTTTGATAGTTCAAGATTAAAAATGTCTTTGAATTACAAACAGTATTTTCAAAAGCAAGTGTGGAAGGTTGGTCCCATGTTTACAGAAAAGGTGAAATATTTACCTGTTTGAGAATATTTTAAGGCATTTGGTTTTGAATCATGGACAGTGTTTAATTCGGTTTTCTGCTAGCAGAAAAGTGGAGGGTGACTCTCCTTGTGTAAAGAGCCAGTTTAGGGATGTGAGGGCTAATATCTGTTACTCTGCCAGTTTCTTTCTGTTGTTTATGTCTGGAAATAATATTGTAGATAAACAATGTCTTCTTGATGCCTTAAGTGTCTTAAAGCTAAATAAGCTTTGCAGGAGAATGT